CTCAGTCCCGGCCTTGCCCAGGGGCAGTTAGTGCGACTGCCTTGGGCCCATTATTCAAAGGGGTCCCAAATTTTTATTATTATAATAAGTGTTATATTATATTATTATAAATTGATTTAATATTTTTCCATAATTTTTAGGAATAGGATATTGAGATGAATATGAAATTTTGGAACAAAGGATTCATGACGAGAGTTTTAAAAGAAATTCTTTGATATTGGCTTGACTTGCATTCTTGAAATTCTTTGACTCACTGGTATGGTATCCATAATTGGACATTTGTTTTCATTATTTAGGAATATGGACGACATTGCTCAAAGTCTAAAAATATTTTCGAATAAATACTTTCTCAAAAAACCCAATGCTTAGTTGATAAAACAAGAAGTATACTAGTATTAGTGATTAATGTGTGTAGGGCACACTTTAGATTTTCTCCCTGGACCTTTGAAAACTCAGGACCGGCCCTACTTGCCTCAAATAAGAAAAATTCATCGATTTGCCATTTCTTTGAGCAGAGAGATTAGTTTGGAAGAAAAACAATGCTCTAATGTTTGGTCCTAGTCTTGAACCTGAGGCTCAAGCGGGCATCAAGTGTATTTTGTTAATTCTAGTGGTGCCTTTCCACGAGAACTATCTTCGGATTGCCAACTATGGTTGATGGAAACATAGGACGACATTTTTCAAGGCACAAGCATATGTTCCGAGCAACGTTACAAGGATGGAAGTGATAGGTACCATCCATTGCAATTTGCATATAATGAGATTTTGATTAAATAGTGTCATAATTTATACATACCTATACCACAAGCTGCTTATGTGCGAGGAACTTCAATCACTTAAAGCTAATTTCGGTAAACATATTTATATGAAAATGTTGAAGGGAGATTTGTACCTTAAACATTTTCGAATATTACGAATATAAGTATCACCAAGAACTAATTAATGCAAATTTACTGTGTATTGAGCGAAACAAAGTAAACCATCCATTGATTGATAATCGATGAAATCCCAATGGCAATGGGACAGAGACAGGAACCCCATCCCAGACTGTCCACCTCTATAATAAAAAGTAACTGAAATACCACGTTAGGAATGGATGAGGCCGCATACGGTTTGGCCGCATACGGCCGCATATGGTTTGGCATAGTTTCTGTGTTCCCATCCCCTGGGCCATGCTGTTTTAGTAAGAGACAAACCACTAAATTAAAAAGACACTTTCTCAAATTTATTAAAATTAAAAAGTTAAAAAAGCAACGGAATCTTTTTTTTATTTTTTTTATTTTATAATCTGTCTGAAAGATAGAATTTCATTATAAGTAAGCAAAAAATCGAGAGAAATACAGAGTCCATAATAACAAAGCATAGCGTACAACAAGACATAACAACGACACAGCTATATAAAAGGAGGACAACTAAAGAAGCAAAAAATAATTTTGTAAAATCTTGATAATGTATGTGCGAAAACCCCAATTTTTCATGCAATTTCGACTATCACTTATAAGCCTTGTATTAAAAACGCAAAAAAAAAAACGATGGGTTTGCTTCTCTAACCTGATACCGTAATTTGTTCGCAAGAAATAGGGATCCATCCCCCTGTGCCATTTATTTTTCTGTCTCCCTTGTTCTTTTCTTCCCCACTCGTTCATTTTTATTTTGGAAGTTTCACTAAAACACCCAAAATGAGGGTTAAAATTATAAAAAAACTCAAGCATTATTTAAACATATAAACACACCCAAAACTCATCATTACACACACTTAAAACTCATTTATAAACACACCCAAAAAGTTGACTTTGTGGTTGATTTTGGGTGTGTTTTTATATTTAAATAATGTTTGAGTTTTTTTATAAATACATGTCTATAATTGGGTTTATTTATAAATTTATATTTTATTTTTTGGATCAGAACCCACTCATTCCCGATACACTGCAACACTGCTTTTCCCTCTCGTACACATATCCAATGTAACTTCGGGGTAGGGCCTACCTGTTTCCCATTGTTTATACTCCATGTGGAGTTGTGGTCCCATGTGATATCATTTGATAATTTCCCATAGTTTGGTACAATACCTCGCGTTCTATATGGCAATTCCTAAGAACAATGATGATCCTTGCCAAAGCCGAATACTAAGAGCAACTCCAAAGATGTTGGCAAATGAAATAAGTAAAATTGTACTATAATAATTTAAGTGATATGTTGCCTACTCATTTGTCTCATAAAAAAAATTAGTCACTCCAAGGAACTAGGCAATGCAAGTCTATAAATTATTATTATATTATTTATTTTTATCTTTTATATTTATTATTATATTTATAAAAAAAAAAACATGACGAGAGTTTTAAAAGAAATTCTTTGATATTGGCTTGACTTGCATTCTTGAAATTCTTTGACTCAATGTTATGGTATCCATAGTTGGACATTTGTTTTCATTATTTAGGAATATGGACGACATTGCTCAAAGTCTAAAAATATTTTCGAATAAATACTTTCTCAAAAAACCCAATGCTTAGTTGATAAAACAAGAAGTATACTAGTATTAGTGATTAATGTGTGTAGGGCACAATTTAGATTTTCGCCTTGGGCCTTTGAAAACTCAGGACCGGCCCTGGTCAAGCTGCTGCAGTCGGCCTTTTAGGCTTTTAGGTTGATTCTTCTATAAGGTTTGGCAAGACTTGTACAGGTCAATGCATGTTCCAAATGAATTTTTATGGCTAGTGATACATTGGCACTTGCCAGTAAACATCAAACAAAGTGGCTTCACATTTGAGATGGTCCATGAAGGACCATAGATCCTCCTAGCTTCTTAAGTTCACCAAATACATAGCAGCTATCTAGATTCTAGCGCATATTATTAATGGCAGTCACAACAGACCCTCAGTTACCAAATTTATTACCTTGGGCCTTCAATTTTTTTAACTTTTATTTTTAATTTTCTGTAGAATACATTATTAATGTAACTTGCATTAATGGGTATGTATAATGTATGTGAGCCAAGGTCTGAGTCAGAGTAGTTCACGTAAAAGAAGCACCATTTTAATTCAGTAAATTCTTGAGCCTAGCCATATCACCCTTCTTCCATGGAACCCAACAAAAGCAAAGCTTGAGTCCTGTGACTATCTGTGACTGTGAGCATGCAATCTTGTGTCTTTCATGTGACCTTCTCTTGTCATACCACTTACTCCTGTGATTTGCTTCAATACTTTCTTCTTGGTCCTGCCTTCTATAAATATTCATCTGCTTCAACCTTTTCTTTCCACCATTTTCTCAATCACTCAAGACCTTCTCTAGCTTTTGCATAAGTTTAGTCACTAAACAAAAGAGAAAAAAAAAATTCAAGAAAAATCCATGAAGGGTTCATTTTGGGTAGCTGCAATTATGGTTGCTCTCCTTTTATTTCCAAATTCCATGTCTGCTAGGCATATAGCTCGGCCTCACTCACGTATAAATACTCTCTATCAAAATTGTTGGTTGTGATTAAATTGTAATTATCGTTAAACATTTCTCTAATTTTCCTTTTCTGTTGATTAATTATGATGCAGGTCATGGGCGCCATCTGAAGTCTTCAGTGTTAATACCAAAAAGCACAATTAGAGAGGGTGCAGTGGAAGAAAGAAGGCCAATTAGTTATAAGAGAATTAGGGGGCCAGATACACTCCAAGTGGCAGGGTCGAGCTTGCCAGATTGTTCCCATGCTTGTGGATCTTGCTCACCATGTAGGCTTGTGATGGTGAGCTTTCTCTGCGCATCAATCGCAGAGGCTGAGACATGTCCCATGGCTTACAAGTGCATGTGCCATAACAAGTCTTATCCTGTTCCTTAGTTCATGCTCATATGATTCAAATGTCAACTAATTTTTATGTCAATTTTAGTCTAACATAGTGTCCCCAGTCTTCTTTTTGGACCCTACTCCAGTTTCTTAGCTAGGGCAAGATT